AATCTCAAAGTTTTGATGATGTCAACAAAGAAGACTCAAACTCATTCCATGATTGCAAGCAAAAAGTCAAAGCTTTCAAAATGATCAAGATATTTACACTATATACCCGTGAGGGTATATGCACTGAGAAGCTATTTGCACTATATTCCCGTGGGGGTATATACACCGAAGATAAAACTAGAAGCATCATGTGCAAATGTTCTACAGCTTTCAAGATTTGGACTCAAGCTTTGGTATATCATTTTTACTCCTTTAATTGATATACAAGTGTTCAAATACTTATCATATTTTCATATTGCATTTGCATGGTTTTAAAATCGTTTGAATTGGTATAACACTTTTTAACTCAAGCATTTTTCTGAGTTTTAACAGTGTTAACCGACTAACCATATGGGTTAATCGGTTAACGACCTTAATTTTTGAATTCTGTGGGCCAACGTTCAAGTGTTAACCGATTAACCTATAGGGTTAACCGATTAACACTGAACGAATTTTGAAAAATTGTTACTGTTAAAATTCAAATGTGGTTTGAATATTATACCTTTTCATGTTTTGATTCAGACTTAATTATACCTTTTTGAAATAGTGTTTTGCTCATATAAACTCTGAATATTTCAAATTGAAAAAAACAACCTCCAATAATTTTCAAAATATTCATTGAATCAAATTCACTACTTTTCAAATATTTTCAAATATTTTCAAAAAGTGTTCATATTGTTCATACAATTTCATATCCAGTTTTTGAACACTTGTATTGATATTAAAGAGTGGATTTTGATCAAAAGGAGAAGATCAATCATTAGATTGATATTATCATTGTATCACTTTCAAAATTACAAAAATACAAAGTTATTACTATTGTGACTTGTGATCCAGGATTGTTGGACACAAGGGGTAGTGTTTGCAAGAGGATTGTTCTTGCACACTAAGTGTTGATTATTTGTTAGATTGTAGGCCTCACCGGTTGATGGTGTGATAGGTTGTACTTTTTAAAACTATAGTGAAAACTCTCTTTCATGTGGAAAGGGGAGTGGAGTACTCTCGGATTGTGAGGGGAACCACTATAAATCTCCGTGTTCATTTTTATTTCTGCCTTTACTGCTTTCATCACCAAGAACTTAAAGAAGAAAAATTCAAGAGGTTTGAAAAACCGGAAAAAGTTTCTAAAGCCTAATTCACCCCCCCCCCCCCCCCCCTCTTAGGCATACTCTGAACTTACATGATCTGATCTATCCAAGAAGAACATTCAACAAATCACAAAGGCTCCTATATCAGAGAACACAGCAGTAAATACACTGAATCTTTCAAAAACAGAAGTAAACACAAACTCCCCCTTAACCCCATAAGCAGCAGCTCAGACATTTAGTAAGATCAGCAAATCAGCTACCACATCTCCTTGTTCAAAACACCAGAAAGTATGTCCCAGGATCTCATCCAGAATAGACAGGATGCTTGCTCTGATACCAATTGAAATTCTGGTATGCAGATCTCAGATGTCCTAAGAGATGCAAAGAACATTGATCTGTGCTAAAACAGAACAAGGACATGACATGGCCATTTTAAATTCCTTTAAAATTAACAATGTCATGACATCTGTTGTAACATCTGCAGACTGACAGAACTATTTATCTAACCATTTAAATTGTGCAGAATTGTAAATGCTGAAAGATAAATAACACAATGAATTGTTAACCCAGTTCGGTGCAACATCACCTACATCTGGGGGCTACGAAGCCAGGAAGAAAATCCATTATTAGCGGAATTAATTCAGAGCTAACCTCCCAGTTTACAACTCCTCACTTAATCTCTACCCAATGCAATTTCTGCCTAGAACACACTAGACAAGAGACACCTCTCACTCCCCACACTCACAGTAGTGATAAACAATTCAATACAAAAAGAAAGACTTTAGAAGAAACTCTTCAAAGTCACAATACTTAATTTTTCTTAACAGCTTCAATCAAGAACAATACACTATTTCTTAAAAGCTTCGAGTGAACACTTAACAATTAACACATAACAGCCTAAACATGTCTACCACTATGCATCCAAAGATACAAAGGGTGACTTACAAAGTCACATACAAAAGACTCTCAAAACCTTAAACCCTTAGTTTACACTCAAGTTTTTCTTGTTGTGAGTGCTTGATTTTCCTTGCTTCTACGCCTCCTTAAATAGTAATGCAGTCTGGGCTTGGGTTGATCAAAAGTAACAACAGGGAGAGAAGATTTCAATGTTCATAAATTGCAGTATAAATTAGGTTTAACCAAGTTAATCCAATCTCCACAATTCATGGTGCTATCAAATATGTCATAGGCGTTTCATGTTATGCTCAGCACTGCCTAGAGTCTCGCCTGAGATAACTAAGGAACCCTAGCAGGTTTCCTGAAATCTAGTCTAAGATAACTCAGGAACCATAACAGAAAAACAAACATGTGCCCTTGATGTCAACTACCTGATGTCATAACATTCAGTATGACATCCAATGCACTCTGTTCTAGCTAACCAAACTTACCATGTAGTACACTCCTGCAGAATCTTCTTCATAACAGTAGAAACAAATATATTAGAGTTTCCTAAATAGTCTCAAAGGTCCTTTTTATGAACACCAATTAAATCTGCACTTTGTTCCAAATGCATCTCTTTGACCTGTACACACTGACGAGATATATCCAACAGGATCTCATCAAACCAAACCACCTCTATCAAAAGATATAAAATAGCAGCTCTTGTTGTACCTGACAAAGATGTTATGACATCTGTCTTGACATTTTGATTAAAACACATGACAACAATTCTGTCACCACAACAGATGGATGTTATGACATCTGTCTTGACATCTTAGTTAAAACACATGACAACAGATGGAGATGTTATAACAGCTTTCCTCTGCTTCTGCTCCTCCTTAAATAGTAGTGCAGACTGGGCTTGGGCTGCTCCAAAGTAACAAACATTAGTTTTAACAAAGTAAAACTAATTTCCACAGTTCAAGGTGCTGTCAAATTAGGTCATGATACTGCCTAGAATCTTGTCTGAGATAACTGAGGAACCCTAACAGGTTTCCTGAAATCTAACCTGAGATATATCAGGTATCATAACAGAAAAACAAACTCTGCACGCCTGATGTCATACGATCAATGTCATAACATTGATCATGACATTCAGCTTCATTTAAACTTGCTTTCCAGCTTGCCCTGTTGAACACTTCTGCAGAATTTTCTTCATGACAGTAGAAACAAATGTTTTATAGTTCCCTAAAAAGTCTCAAAGATCCTTTTTATGAACACTAATTAAATCTGCACTTTGTTTCTAATGAATCTCTTTGGCCTGTACATACTGATGAGGAATATTCAACAGGACCAAAACATTTATGTCAAGAGATATAACATAGCAACCCCTGCTTACCAGACATTGATGTCATGATATTCAGTATGACATCCATGACAGCAGTTCTGTCATCAACTCCTGCTAGCTCCTTCTGCATCCATGACAGCAGTTCTGCCATCTGCTCTTATTAGCTCCTGCTGCACCAGATGTCATGATATTGGTAATGACATCCTATTTACAACACATGACAGCAGTGCTGTTATCAGCTCCTGCTGCACCACTACTCCTGCTGTTTCTCACACATGACAGTAGTTTTGTCATGACAGCAGATGGATGTCGTGATGGATGTCATGATATTCAGCATGACATTCACATTAAAACAATCCACAAAAGTTCTGTCACCACAGCAAATGGAGATGTTATAACATCCTGCTTAACATCAGTGCAGGATCATGTTTTACCAAAATTTAGTCAATCATAAAACTATGGACAATTCTATATCATAGAACCATGGAACTAATAAAAATGATTTTGAATAAACATGTTATATTTAAAAAAATTCAAATTTTCATTTAGTAACACTACTATTTTTTTTTTAATATTTAAGGAGTGATAATGAAATGAAACTACAACAGAAAGATTAATAGTTCCGTGTCAAATGCTACAATTTTATAATGCTAATATTGGCATAGTATCACCCAAACTTACTTGTCTAACATTTTATGGAACAAAACCTTATTTCAATATGCATGTACCAATTTACTTATAAAGAAAAAATGCATGCACCAAATATGTTAGACAACCTCCCACGGTGGTTTTTCAAATTGGTTTGCCAGTTTGACATTGAAATTGTCAACAAAAAGTTGTTTCAGCGAGTGAACGTTACAAACATAACCAACGGTTCTTCATTTTTTTAATTAAAATAATCATTTAGCCGTTGTGCAACGACTTTATTTTTATTTTTTTTTTAAGTTTTATTTATTTATTATAAATATAGGTTTGTTAAAAAAATTGTATACCAATCTTATTTTCTCTCACTTTTATTTACTCTTTAATTTTAATTTTCTCTCTCACAATTTCATCATTTTATTCATAAATATTTAATTTTTTTCCAACAATTTCTTCTCATTATCATTTTATTGTTTTTAATTATGTGACGTGTATTTAAATTTAATTTTAATTATTAATTTCAATTTTATGTTTAATTTTAATTTTATGTTTAATTTGTATTTATATTAATTAAAATTTAAATATTTAAATTATAATTTTAAATAAAATGAATTTAATATAAATAATATATTTTAAATAAAGTGGTGGGATCCAATATGAGTTTTTTAGAGTGAAAATTGAATGAGTTGTTTTAAAAGATTGAGTCCAACAAAAAACTTAAAAATAGGTTGCACCATTATGGGAAGACATTCCAAATAACAATATTTTTTCCAATACATAATCAACACGTGTATTATGCAATTTTCAAATTTCTAAACGGTCCCAAATATGTTCTTCTTGGTCGCCAAGTAATTCTACTATCTTCCTAACTTTTCTATTATTATATATATTCCTATGATATGTTGAAGCTATAAAAACTAGTTGCATAAACAGAAACCCCAATTCAATTTCAAGTCACGCCTCAATCTTGATTTCCTATTCCAACTTAAATATCTTTTATTTTGATGGCTTTGATTTCGTCCTTCTTCAATTGTTTTGGCCCCTCTTCAAACTCATCATCTCAAGTTTATGATGAAAAATCATCTCAATCGAAATCTTCGTCTTCATTGAAGAAACCAAAGAGCAAAGAAAAATTAAAGGGAGCTCCAATTATAGTTTCTTATTTTCCTATTAACTCTAATTGCTCACGTTTGTAATTATTTATTTATTTTGGTACTTGATTTCATTTTATTAGGTTTTTCTTGTTTTAGTGAGAAAAAACTTATTTGATTTGTATAAATAATTAATACAAATTAAAATTATATAATTCGTATACAATTTTTTTAATTTATTTTATTATTTTATTAATAATTTACTGGTTTATTTTTTCTCCAAAATTCCTATTAACTTTAGTTATTGTTAAATAGAAAATTGTGCATGGAAATTAATGAAACAGGTTTTGAAACCACCTTTAGTTAGGGATGATTTACGAAATTGCGAGAATTTGTGGTCTTTTTGTAAAATAGAGAATGATGTTCTTAAGAATGAAAAGAAAATCTCTAACAATTTTAAGTAGTTAAATAGAGTGGCGTTTAAGTGAGAGAGGGAAATCTGATTCCACCATGGAGTTGTGCCAATTATGATAATACAATTATTTATTATTAAATTTAAACGGTTCAGATAAATTTTCTGATTATCTAAAGATAACGTGTTAAATTTGTATTAAAAAATTAGCTGTAGATTTCAAATATTTTATCACTTTTTTTCATAAGCAAACAATAATATATTAATGGTGAGTAACAGGGATACTTCAACTCAATAAACAGTACTAAAAACTCCAACACTTAGGTAAATTAGTTACAAAAATAATTAAAACTAATTAAATAATACTAATAAAAAATAATTTTGATAATAATAATAATAATCTAATTAATAATTAAAACTAATTACTCCTAAACAAATTATTTAAACTAAATCTATAAAAAAAAACTCTATTTAAAATAAAACTATTTACAAAAGTTCTAACAAAAAAAATATAAAACTCTATTTAACTTTTAATAATAAAAATACTAAATTAAAATAAAATTCTAATAAAAATCTATTTAAAAAAAATCTAAACAATTAGAAAAAAGCTATTTAAAGAAAATAAATTTAAAATCCTTATTTAAACTAAAAAAAACTAAATAATTCTACAAACCTAAAATATCTCTAAAATTACTAACTTGAATTTAAAGTCCTAAAATATCTCTAAAATTACTAACTTGAATTTAAGATCCTAAAATAATTCTAAAAACTAACTTAAATCTAAGATCCTAAAATATCTCTAAAATAACTTTAATATCTAAAAACTATATAATTCTAGAAACTTATTAAATAAAAATCTATTCAAAAATTAAATCTATACAAACTCTATTCCTATTTTTTTTTAAAATAATAAAACAAACTATTTAAATTAAATAAATCTTAAAACAAGAATAATATACAAAGTTGATATTTGCAAGGGAAAAGATAAATTAAAAAGGATTAAAATTTACGAAAATACCCTTAGGCCACGTGTCTTGTCCGTATTGGGCAAAAAAAGTCGAGATTTGAGAAACGCCCAATCGGGGGCGGGCACGTGTCTTTAATGGCATGAAATTAAGTAAAAAATGTAAAATAAAACGCGAAAATATTTACAAAAATTGGCAGGCAAATTTAGGATATGACAGATGCCCCTATTTAATCGGCTTAAACCTAGTAAGACGAAATGGCATGGCATTCATTCTTTCGAGGTAGAAGATGATTAAATATAGAAGACCCTGAATTTGTCCGAAAAAGAAAAATAAAAGTTTTGAGAAGTGATATACAAACAAACCTGACACCCAAAAGGATGTAGACGTATAAGCTTCTCCCAAGAGATTGCCACTTATCGTTGATGAAGGATAAGCTTCTCTGAAGAGATTTCCACTTAGAGTTGATGAATGATAAGTTTCTCTGAAGAGATTTCCACTTATCACCGAAGACGGATAGTCAAGTCTGCTGGAGACAAAGCACTGGGGATCGCCCATGACTTTACTGAAGATGCCCCTGTTTGGGTTGAATGTTGATTTGAAGATCTGATTAACCACGGGTTTGAAATACGTCATGCAATACACCCATGGTCTTGAAAAGATGCCCCTGACTGGGCTGGATTTTGCTTTGGTCATCTTGAATTTTGTGGGAGGACCCACGGTCTTGCAGATAATGCCTCTGACTGGGCTGATGATTGCATTAAAGCTCTTGGATTTGCCCAACAAAAAAGTTGCACAATCTTGGTGGGGAACACCCATAGTCTTGCGGAGAATTCCCCTGACTGGGCTGAATATGATCTTGGAAATCTTCAAAATTGATCCTGGATTTGATCTCGCATATGTGAATGCTTAATGATAATGAGGTTTCATAAATGGAAATGCAAATGCAAATACTAATGCGCAGAGATGCAAGAGCTGGGGAAGTATGATATGATTTTGAGTATGCACATGATACTGGATGCTTATGAAGTCGAATGCAATGCATATGATGCATATGATTGCAGACGCGTGATTGGGAGTGTAGGTGATGACGTGGCGGACTTTTGGTGGTTGCCAATGTAAATTGGACTTTAGGTTGGAAGTACCAGATGAGGGCTGGTATTTGGAGGGTAAACCAGATGGGACTGGTTGGCGAAAGGTTAAGCTGTATAAGGAGGGCTAATTTTGTGGTTTGCCAGATGGGAGCTGGACTTTGGGATGAGGTTTACCAGACAAGAACTGGTTAAATGGTAGGCTAAAGGAAGGTGACCAGATGGGAGCTGGTTTAAAAGTTGACACATACCGAACGAGAATTGGTATTCAGCAAAGGGTTGACCAGATAGGACTGGTATTTAGCGGAGGGTTGACCAGATGGGACTGGTATTTAATGAAGGGTTGACCAGATGGGACTGGTATTGGAGGTTTCGGTTTGTTTTGATGGGTGACAGGTTTAGGCTGTGGGATGAAGGATCCAATGACAACAAGGCCTTTTCAGAAGGTTAAGGTTATTGGGTGAGGTGACGATACGATTCCCCGACACTCGTTTTGAACTCAACAGTTGCTGATGAGGATGAACTTGCTTGAGTAGCTTGCCATGAGATGGCCTCAAGATGGCTTGCCCCAGAGTTTGTACAACGAATAGATTCATCATTGTTTAACTGATTCTTGTGGTTGGCTTCAACATACTTTTGGAGTAGCTTGCCCTTGAAAGAGCGTTGAAGCGACTTGACTTATCCTGATTGAACATTGGAGGGATCTATCCTCAAGTCAAAGAAACTCTGGGTGGCTTGCCCCTAATTGGTGTAGTTCACTTTTGATCAACCTCTTCTTGATGATCTGCCCCATAATCAACCGATGCATGGGGATTTGCCTCAAGCTGACTAATTTCATGCCCTCGGATGTCAATGCCCCAGATCACAAGGCTACAAGGCATGCTCGATTCTGATACAGACTACTGAATGATCCAGTCCTGTTTGATTGCTTCGTGTTGGAATTTCCTCGACGCCAACTACTGACTTGCAATTGAAATTGTTTGTTCATGAATGGTAATCTTAATGCAAAGTTCATGCAAGTTTTGAAAGAATTGTCTTTTATTACGTGTCGTAATTGTGAGACGAATGGACCGTTAGTCCAAACGTTGTGCTAATTTGATTGGTGTGAAAGATATAACAAGGATATTGACACCAATGCTGATGATTAGCAAATATGTGAGGAGTCGGGTTACGCAACCTTGTGATAATATGCTTTCAAATTAATCCTCGCCTTAATTAGGTCTTTCGAGGGTTGTAACATGGTCTGGTTCGTGGTTATAGAATAAAGGATATTAGGCTAAAACTTAATTTGTACCCATCCCTTCTTCTTGATGATCTCCATACCTATGTTCAGTTAATTCTGCGCATGTTTATCTTGATGGTGTAAGCTTGATGTTTCAAGGTTTTCTTGAAATGGCAGCCACCTTATTTTGATGTTTGATGGAAGTCAGTGCCCCTTTTGGGTGACCACTGAATCTTATTTTGTTTTTTCTGAGGGTTTGAGAACCTCTTTTGATTTCTTTATGATCCCTAACTTTTGCATGGACTGATTTTGTTTGTCAGATCCATCGGGATTACCTTGATTTTTGCCTAAGTCCCCTTTGAGGTGCTTGACTTAGCAGGCTTTTGATTTTTTTTTGTTGGAAGGTCGTGACTGCTATGTCACAGGTGATTGGTGAACAACCGTCTTCTGGATTTTGCTTTGTTGATTCGAGTGCGGGATTGGATTAACTAAACACTACCCTGCCCCAGGTTGAGTGTAAGGATTTGAATATCCGAAGAAAACTCCTACTTCTAGGCTCGAAGTGGTTGACTATGGATTAACTCCTTATAACTCCGGTGTTTAGGGGATTTGAAACAATGTCTGTACATCATTGACGAGATTCTGTCTGAAAGCATACAATTTGCAATTATGGGTATTTTGTTTTCGTCATCCTCCCTCCAATGTTTGCTAAAACAATAGTGATGAAGTGGAATGGATAAAAGTGTATGTGTCTGTGATAAGTGGAAATAATGAGTGAATACGACGTGACTGATTCAGAAAATGCATAATCACTTAATTAATATTACCATTAAAAATAACAATGTTTAAACAGCAAGTAGTAATTAACAGAAAGTAAACTACAAGATGCAAATGATAAAAGCGCCCAAGGACTGCCAATGTTGAGGACGTCTGCCTGTCTGGACCACTGGCTTCTGGAAATGACCCTTTGAAATTTTCGAGCTTAGACAGCTGAGAGGTTGACATGGACAACCAAAATTCCTTCTGGAAAAGAGATGTACCCCTTGTCAATCAACTGTTGCACTTTGGCTTGGAAGGCTTTGCATTCTTCAGTCGAGTGCCCCATGGATCCACCATGATATCTATACTGAACATTGGGATTGTACCCGGGAGGGTAAGGTTCTGGCACAGGCTTGAGAGCTTTAGGCTCCACCAATGAGTTTTGAATAAGATGTGGGAGAAGTTGACTGTGCGACATAGGGACTGGATGAAGAGGAGCAAACCTTCTTTCCAAGTTATTGCTGGGCCTATTCTGATTACGGCGCTGATTCGAATGACCTCGGCCATGGGCTCGTTGATTTGCATGAGGAGCGACCCATGGCTTATGGGATGAAGCTTTAGGCATGGCCGATTGTCCATGAGGATAACATAGCACT